CACGTTTGCCATTATGAAATACGATGTCACCAATACCAATGCAAAGAACTTACGGCACGGGCAGACTCCATGAGCCCAGGCCAAAAATAACAAATATAATAATAACAGCAACAACAAAATAATATATAGAAATACTTGTTGAGCTCGGCTATAACTTTGACATTTCGCAGTCACAGTTGGCAACAGTGAAAGAAACTGTTGCCATATTTGCATAACTGTTAACGGTTAATTGACAGTCGAACGGGCAAAGCCGCTGGGCAAATTACACACGACAACATACTTGGGTACATGAATTGCATGTACTTAATCACACATATTGATCGATTGCCTGTCAGAGTCAACAAATGCATTCCACAAATGTCGAATGTCAAACTCGACTTGATTCGAAACGAAGTTACATTTATTTTTTTCTTCAGCTGAATACTGAATATGCTGTTTTTAATGTTGAATCTCAGGATCTGTGCAACCCTACAGAAATGAAAGTTGTTTTGCAAGTGCAACAAGTTGTTGTTGTTGTTATTGTGGCCAGGCAATTGTCTACGCGTCCTTTTTTTTTTTGCATAATCAAGGTTACAAACAGGCTACGACTTTAATTTAGTCAGCTTTCAGTTTTTATATTTGAAGGCCAGTTTTTAATTTTTTTTTTTTTAATTGATTGACAACTTCCGCTGCAGCAATGCAAATTATTCAGACAGACCAATTAAAACAGGCCCACACTATAACTAAGCATTTTTTAATATATGTACTTAAAAGCATATTTTGTGTTTTGTTATTTTGTTTTCTATTTCAATGAAAATGTTGTGCTTACCTGCGCCAATGGCCGCCAAGGCCAAAACGGCAAAAACAACAAAGAGTTTTGCCATTTTGTAGAGTTAAAAAAACACACGCACAGTTTCTATGATATGTCAGCAGCAGTTTCTAATATTTTTTTTTTGTATTTTCACTATGTTAAAAAACACTCGAGTTGAGATCAGCTTTGAGCAGCGGCAGTAGTTTTGTCCTTCCGTTCGCTATCAAAGCTCCATTTACACTGTTTGCTACGTTGTCGCGCACAATTTCTCGAAGCTGACGCCAAAGCCCAAAACCAACTCAAATTTGCTTCTTTTATTACACGCGACGACGTCGGACGCCTCTCTTGCTGCTGCTGCTGCTGTCGATCTGCAGCTGCTGGTGCTGTGGTGAGTTTTGGAAAGCGTTCGCTAGCTTCTTTTTTTTTTTGCTTTTTTTAACAGCTAAACACAAGCACTGGCAACGGCAGGGGCGGCAACACGATCCACACTCGTGAGCTTTTTAACGGCTTTCGTTGCTCGGTCGGTTGCACAAGTGCCGTTCAAAATACGCTCGTGACTTGACTGTCGCCCAGAAAGAGAGAAGTGCGGCACGTACGCGACACTCTTTTATATGCAAAATGGCAGCCGTTGCTTGTATTGGTTGGGCTGGTGCCTGTTGGTGTCTGCCTCGTGGTGAGTACCAGCTGCAGCACACCTCTGTGGACTGCAAGTGTGTGGACAGCATTCGCTATTGTCGCTGCTGCTGCCCACTTGCTGCTGCAAATTGAATTCTTGGCTTTATGTCTGAAGCTTTGAGCGCTTCGTTGGCAAATTCCAGAAACTTATATCTGGGCGTATCCTCATTAAAATAAGTATGCTCACATAAGTTCACACATATCGAATAACTCGAATTAACAGTTACTTTTGGGTTGTATACCCTAGCGATAATACGACCGATATTCAATATAAATATATTCAATATAAAAAGGCACACTTGTCACACTTCGGACAGGGTCCCTGGGTCATATCTTATATATTTCATATAAGAATTTCTCAATACTTAATATAAGCAGAAAATTTACGATAATGATAATGAAAATAATAACAATAATATTAATAATTATAATACTAAAAATATAATCATACCCATAATTATAATCATACTACTAAAAATAACAATATTAATAATAATAATAATAATAATCCCTGATATTTATTCAGTTATGTTTAATACATTCAGAAAAGTTTGTGTTAAATTATTTCAATCAGTTGGGACCTGTTTTTTATTTTTAATAACATTTTAGAGCATCAAATTAGAGCAATAAAATGTTGAATGTCATTATCCACTTCTACCCGTTCTGCAGGCTACCTTAACTGTTTTATAATAAATTATACAATTAAATTACCCACATAAAATGCCACTTTAAAGTTCCCCCCAAATCGTGTTATTTGTATATTATTTACAATACAAAAGAATTTTAAAAATGTGTGTTAATAAAACATTCAAGTTACTTGGAATGAAAATTGTTAAATAATATCATCTATATTTAAGATATTTGTCCGACAAGTAGCAAAAAAAACATGTGTTTCTTTTAATTTGTCAAATAAAAGAGCCCAAGGTTATGGAATTATATTATCTAAGCCAACTTCTATCTCTTTGTCTCTCTCTCTCCCACTGTGGTCTATCAAAATCCTTCAGTTTCAGTCATAACGAAAAATGGCAGTTTAAAATCTAATCTGTAATGAAATTAAAGCAACTTATTGCTGCATTTTATTTTTTTATATTAATTACGTTAATAGCAAGCAAATCGAATCCAAAGAATATCGTTTAGTTAGACTGTTTGGGTGCTTGTCGCCTTGCCAATGGCAGCATTTCTTTCCATGTGGCTAACTATCGTGTCTGGCATCTTGGCGTTCCAATTTAAATCCGCTTTTTTGTCGCTGCGACCTTGATCAGTTTAAAGCCAAATTAAAAACAATAATGGCCCATAGACGGCGGTTGCTAAATGACGGTGGGGCGTCGAAAGGCGTGACGAACTGCCAACGTCGTCGCTTCAACTTTAAAGTGTGCCAAACTGTGTTTTTTTTTCTGATTTTTTTTTTTGTGTGTGCTGCTTGTCATTCGCATAAGACTAGAGACCTTTTTGAGCTGTCATTGTCTATTTCGAGTCGCATAGTTTTTTTTTTTCTATTTTTCGTGCCACACTTGACATTTGCGAAGAGGAGCAAAAAGTCAGCCAACACGTTGTTGACTAGCGCTTAGATTTACATATAAAATTAAATATCGCATAGATATTTGGCTGCCCGGTTTCCGCTTCGCCAAATCACACTTGACGAAATTTACGTCAATTGTGGAACCAGTTTTCGTTTTTCATTTAAATGTGATAAACTGTTTCAACAGAACTCCTACAAAATCATTAATTTCGTTAATTTCAAGCGAAAAGCTGCATGCAAAATTGCAGCACTTAAAACAACTTGAATCTAAAGCATTTAACACTAAATTGCTCCTTGGGGCACTTTTGACCATTTATCATGCGGTTTGAGTTCGTGTTTAAGCTAAATATATTCGTATATTTATTAAGCAAAGTGCTATTCGGTACCAGGATGTTTTGTTGTCTTAAGCTGTTAGTCTTGTGGTCTGTTGCTTTGTCTCAAAAAACCGCAAATCGATAGTGTAAATATTTTATATATTAAATATATGCACCATAAACACTTTATATAGTATTTCTTACCCAGTCTGGCAGCTGCTTGTAAACTGGGTGATTTTTTAATGAACATTTTGTCCACAATATACATAACATTTTTGCATCACCCTTAAGAGACTTAATTAAAAGCAGGTTATCCATTCACTGGCCCTATAATATGAATAAGTAGCTGTTTGCATCAACGCAGACATTCAATAAACTTCAACTGCATTAAGTATACGCATATACGCTTTGCTAACTTTAAGCTGAACAAGCTCTAGAATATTTTCTGTTGAAATATATATAAAATATACCGAAAAACAAAATTAACACTTGGTACCATAAAAACTAAATGTCTAGCCTTTACAATCTCTCAGGGCGCCTAACTTTGTTGAATATCTCTTAAATATATAATATAATTAATTCTTAGAAGCATTTAAACGACCACTTTTAGATATAAAAATCAGTGCTCAGTTAATGTTGGCCTCGAAAACATTTTAAAAGCCTTAATGGATTAACAATTTGAATGATTTAACAATAAGTTACACGAAAGCTTAGCTTAATTCGATTTAAATACGCTAGGTGGAGCCGCTAACTGGGAAAGCTCCCTCGTGCGCAGTTATGGTTTAAAATAAAGACAAAATGTACTCGAAATCATATTTAATACAATTTGTTCTACTCCAAGTGCTCATGCAAAATGTAGCTGTATCTCTGGCATGAATTTATTATTCCTTGGCAACACCCAAAGAGGCCACATTCAATTATATTGCAATTATTTTTCAATTATAGACTTTTTGTTGCGAAAACTGAAAAGTTGAAAAGTTTTGCCTGCCACCTTGTCCTTGGCTAAGTATTAAAACATAAAATGTTATGGCCTAGCAAAATTTATATATTTTTCTACTTTCCTACTTACCCACAAGAACTCGAACATATATAACGTAAATGTATACAAGTATTTTATTTAGTGCCAGCTGAGCGAAGCGGACAAATTGCTCCGATGACCTTATGTGTGCATAAATATTTCAGCCGCTTTGGCTTTAGCTAGTTGCCAGTTTCAAGAGCAAGGCAGAGTCCTTGATGTAGCAGAAAACTATTTGCAAACTGTAAGGACAAAAGCCAGCATGCAATAAAAGCTTCCCCCTCGGTCCCACTGTATCATACCCTGGGCGGCACCCAAGCACCGCTGTGGTGGTCAACAGGTTGAGGGTAAACTATTTTTTTTTTTTCTCCGTTTGCAGCGAGCTTTTTTGCTTCCTTTTAGTAGCCATGAAAATTCAATTAACAGCACAGGCGCTAATTGATGGCGCATTGAAAAGCTTTCCACTTGTTGAGAAAACCAATTGAATTGGCTCGGCCTCACGTGCTGCGCCGAGCAAAAACGAAAGCTCAAGCTCAGCACGTGCCGTGTGTGGCGAAAGCACAACAAAAACTCCCACAAATACAAATACAAACACAAACAGAAGCACGAGCTCCTCGCCAGCGGCGAGCTTTACACGAGCACGCACTTGAATTTCAACTGGCGACAACAGTTTGTTGCTTAGCCTGCACGCCAACGGACGTCCACAGCACGGAGCCGATGTGTGTGTCTGTGTGTGTATGTTCGTTTCAGTTCAGTTTTCCCATTTTCGTCTGCCGCTTTGCCAGTTCTTTAAGCAACGGTCAGTCGCGGAGCGAGACGGGAACGCGACGGGCAAGACACAAGTCGCCGTTAGCAGAATTGAAAAAAAAGTAAAACAAAAAACGAAGTAACAACAATACAAGGAAAACAACAACAACAACAGTGAAAACAAAATGGAGTTTCTGAGAATTTTAGTTGAGTGAAGTAAAGTGAAGTTAAATAAAGTAAAGTAATGCGAAGTAGTAAATATTTTAATGCCCCATAATGCAACCTTAAATTCTTGCAAAGGGGCACAGAGAGAGCGGAAGATTCTAAATGGAAGCTAGGGAATTGAAACTGTCTGAAATTAGAAAAGTCGAGAGATTAAAATGGGAATTACTCATAAGCCAGGCTGCGTAAATTTTACGCCCTGAAGCACAATTTGAGAAAGTTTCAAATCTTTCTGAAATCTAAATTTGAACCATAATAAATTGCGCTCATAAACTTTTAATTTCAAACGGGACCTTCAGAGCCTAGAATTATATGCAAATTAGAATCACCTTCAATCCGAAACATTATAGTTTTTATGGAACACGAAACTGCTTGCGAGAAACAAAGTTAGCGCTATATGGTTTAGTTCTTGCCAAAGTGCGTTGGGTAAACAAACAGTTAAAACGTGACTTTGGCCAGGCCGTGTGGAGACCTAAATAGGCTTCTTTGGCTTCACACAGGAAGCAGGTGCAAACAGGGCAAAGTCCCCACACAACTGGCTAAAGCGTGTTACCAATTGCTAAGTGGTCGACTAGTAAGCTGGCAGTGACAGTCACCAGCTGAGACATGTAATCAACGGGACCATCAGCCATTTTTGGGGCGCGTTTATCGTGACTAAGTTAAAGCTCATATTAGGGCACAAGGTCAGTGCTGAACTGACCTGCGGCTAGTTGAATAAGGTCTACTTTTAGGCCGTCCAAATATGTTGATTCAATCGTGGCTTAAGGGCAAGCTGCAGCCAAATATGGGATATGTTTTAAAGAAGTTCTACTAACTTGTAAAAATCCTATACATTTTATGCTGGTGGAAACATTTTTAAGAAAAAGTTTGTTAAACGCAATCAAGAAAACATTTACCCAAACATAAAAAGTGACGATTTTATTATGAAAACTGTGATTATCAAAAGCAACGCTGTGATTGGACAGTTTCTGATTGAAGTTTCCAATGCCTAATGAACATTCCGATGTAAATATGCATTTAAATTAGAATATCAGATTCTGTCTAAAGAGCTATAGATAGAAAGATATATACATAGCTAGATCGATAGATATATCTAGTTTTGGCGCGAATTAGCTTTAAGCCCTAACTTATGAAATGCTCAATTCGCAGGCCTATAAATATAGAGAACTTACTCGCGTGATGTATTTCAGTCTATGGACGTACGCGCTTTAAGCGTATAGCCGAGGGACACTTTGTGCTTGTGAACCAAGGCTATATGCATTTCAAATGGGCAACACTCTCGCAACAATGAAGGCAAAAGTAAACAAAAGGGGCGTGTCCAAAAAAGTAACAACAACAGTGGAAACACAGCAACAAAAGAGACCCCGCTCCCCCCCAAAAAATAAAAAGGAACGCAATTGTCGCATGCGCCACTGGGCTGGGCCGTAGTGGGGCCCAGGCAGTGGCAGGCATGCAGGCCAACAGACCGTGTACATGACGTCATAAAGCATATTAAATGAGTTAGCACGAGAGCTGCACTGCATACTTTCAGGCATGTGAGCTGCTGTCGCTGCCGCTGTTGCTGTCGTAGCTGGCAAATGGCGACACTGAAAACCCATTAACAAACGCCTAATGACGCACTCGAGACACGGACAGGGTCGCCGCGGGGGGCGGTTGGTTGGGTTAGTCAAGCTGATAATGAGAATGCTGAGAGGTAACAATTAAATGGACATGTGCGGCACCACAGCGCACTTAAACTCTTGCTATATCTCCGTTCTGCTCTCTCTCCCGCTCTCTCTCGCTCTCTGTTTTTGTCACATAATGAAATTGAAATATTAAATATTCATCTAATGCAAGAAAAATCACATCATCTTTTGCGTGCCATATAAAATGTTCAACAAAAGAGCAATTTATCAGCATCCCAGAAGTATGCTACAGAATGTGTGAACAACAACAACAACAACGACTAAAAAACAACAACAACTGTAATAACAAGAAAAGCACACGCGTGTAATTTGTCAAACGGCAGACACAGGCACGCACACACACAACTCACACACACACACACACAAGCACCTACGCATAAAACCGTGTCAGGTGCGCGCGCGTGCCTGTGCGTGCGTCTAAAAACGCGCGCGCTTTTTAACGCTTGCACTTAAATAATGGATCCGGACACAGGATTTAACCGTGTAACCTGTTAAATGGGTAAGTAGATAAACTGGCATCCTACTTACCCTGGCACTGGCAATCAGAGCAAATAATTAGAGTGTACCCAAAAATAAACCTAATAAGCCAATCAGTAATATCGAGTTGGCAAGGTAGGCGAGCACGCATGTGTGTGTGTGTGTGTGTGTGTGTGTGTGTGTGTGTGTGTGTGTGTGTGTGTGTACGCGGGGCTTATGAAGTCTGAAAAGCACATGTAGCTTATAAAATATGCAAGCCAATACATATTTTAACAGCTACATACACGCTGCACAACCAAAAAGAAGAAGGAGACGCGAGAGCAACGCATACGCGACTTTATAAAAGCCTGCGGCCAGCACTTTTATCTTTGCCTGTGTGTGACAGCGAGTGTGTGTGTGTATGTTTGTTAGCGAGTGCTGCATACCTTTTGGGCACATTTTTCATAACAAGGTTTATGTGTGTGTATGCGAAAGATTTACCGTAAAGGAAAGCAGTATGGGCCCTGCCCAGTTTTGGGTTGGGCTTTTTGCTTGACCTGATTCAGGCGCAATGACAGGCAATATCCTTACGAAACGATAAAAATAAGGTCTACCGAGGCATCGCACACTAAGTGCCGAAATGTGAGACAAACTACATGACAGACAGCTACGCTGAAATGCTTTTAAGTAAAAAAGAAATGCTTAAAGGTAAACAAAATGCTCATACACTAAAAAAGTTGAAATAAGCAGATGCGACAAACTAAAAGACAACATTATATTACGCATTGCAATTTACTTTGATTAGCCAGGCTTTCTTGGAATTCAACTGAAATAATTGAAATGTAAAAAACGCTCTTGCAAAGAGAATTTCAACAGACTGTCACAATTTAGTAAATTTTGCTTACGGGCTGAATATTACTGAATTATAAGGAACAGATACAGGTGAATTTTAGCCAGCATTATTTGCTGTGTTAGATCCTACTAAATATTCGCATTTGTTTTAAATTCTTTCTGAAGACACCAGTTATGATTTTTTTATGAATATTACGCGCGGCTTTCTATCAATCTAGACAAAATAATACGCAGCAATATTTGAATAAAATTTGCTGCTGTTTTTCAACCAAGTCTCTTCCACAAAAATAACTGCAACAAAATCCTCAACGAAATTCCAACAAAACCGGAGGCACAAAAATAGCAGCCAAAAAATTGTTTAGTGTTTGTTGTTTTTGTACTCAGCCAGTAATTAAAAGCAAATCCATATTCATTTCGTGCCTTGCACGTCGCCCCTAAATGCCACAGAGGCAGACCGCGCACGTAAGTATGCTACATAAAACGAGAAAAAAAAAAGAAAATCCGAAAAAGTGGATACAACAGAAGCAGAACTGCAAAAGACTGGTAAACGGTGAAAAGCAGGTGCAGAGTGTATCGCATGCCGCTATATGCGAAGGCGCGCGTGTGTGTGTGTGTGAGTGTATATACATGTGTGCGCCTGCCAGGACAGAGAGGACAACGCTGCCTGAGCAGCAGATAAGCCACCGGCTCACTGACTGTTTGCCTGGCTGTCTTTTATGTGTGTGCCTGCCTGCATGTTTGTTTAGCCGCCAACTGGAGAATGGGTCGATGTCAGCGTTGGGAATGCCCGGGGCTCGGGGTCGCCGGTCTTGGTCTTGGTCCTGGTCTCTGGCTATGTCGGCCTATTTGCGGGCCTTCGCTTTGCATGTTGCAAACAATTTGCTGCCATCGCGGCGAGCTCGGCTGCCAGGCAGGACTATGTCGCGGTCGCCTTTTTCCTGCCATTTAGTGCCACAACAGCAAAATGTTCGTGCGACTAATTTGTGAAAAAAATCAACAGCAACAACAATAACAACAATAACAGCAACTGGCACGAGACGTTAAAATCAACGGTTCGTGGGCCATTAAAACGGGGCCAACAAAATGCGCAGCTCGCTTGTTGTTAATGAGAAATAAACACAAAAAAAAATATATTGGCAGCAATAACAACAAGAGCAACAACAACAATAATAACATGCATGCGTACATGTGCAAGTGTGTGTGTGTGTGTGTAGCGTCACTTCAAAAGCCAAAGGGATAAAATTGCGGTAATCGCCAGCACAAAGCTAATAAAAAATTGTAAAATATTCAACAATTGAAAAAGCTTTTAAAGATCCCACATAATCCCTGCGCGACGTTCTCCACTTCCATAAGCTGGCATATGGAACGCATTGTAAGCCGCCTCCACAATTGGCGCCAGCCACCGAAAAGTATGCTACACATATTTGCCCAGAAGAAATCGCACTTTGGTTTTGCTTTTGTGCGTGGGAAACGCCACAAATAAAATGTGCACAGGATGTGTTACAAAGGAAAAGGAAAGATCAACTTGCTGTGGGCGCAAGTTATGCGATATCCATATAAAAGCGAAGCGGACGCGAGGCATTGTATTGCCAAGCAATACTTCAGAAAAGCTCTGCATAAAATCTTTTAAGCTGTTTATCATAAATCAACATATTTATATGGCACAAGTGTAAGGGAACAAACACTGAACGCATTTATATAGGGCTTACTTGAATGTCAACTCAATATGTTATTTATTGGCCACGGATACAATGTAAAAGAAATGGAGCGGAGTTTTAATTTTGATGAAATATAATTTAGTTCCTCACATTAAAGTGTTTCTTCAGCAACTCTAAAGACTCTTAAGTTACGCAAAACAAAGATGTTTTGTTTTCTCCTTTGACTGAATACACTGAGGGATCTGCTTATGGCTGCGGAGAAAATCAGCTATAAGCCGAATATGCTGACATGGCCAATTGTGTTTCGGGTGTTCAATGTCATACACGTGCCTCTTTCAACAGATATTCCATTGTCTGCCATGCGTCCTTCGACAGATAAAACCCATACACAAAGGCTAAGAAGCTTTTACGCTTATAAATAGCCAACACTTGAAGCGTTGCTCCCTAATAGATAAGCAAGGCCATAAATTACGCACCAAGTGCGAAACAAAAGTGGAGAAGACAGATCCGGAGAGAGGAACTGTAATTTACGTAGGTATATAATTAGCATGCAGATTACAAAGCAGATGAAAACAAGATAACTTTACGAGACTAGGCGGTACCCTGTATCTATTAGTCAGTTTAATTTACCCATTAGTACACGAACATAAAATTATTCTAAAAGACAGCACTGAATGTGTTATTATTTAATCAATAAACATGCCAACAAGCCTGAGGGCATACGTAAATTCTAGATAATCGCATAGAAACACACTAACGTGTAAGTATTAAGCGCAAAAAAAAAAAATAAAAGCACAATTACACAAAATATCTCCGTCTTTATACTGCATTCCTTTTACGTTATTTTTTATGGTTAAAGGGTATCAACTGCTGGAAGTTGTAAGTAAAATTGTTGTTAAAGATCTGTTACGTCGGCACAACAAATTGAATGCATCAAATTATGACCAAAAATTGCAAATTAATTGAAATGAATGAGAAACTTTGTAGGAACAAGAACAACAACACACATGCACAAACCCACACACATTAACAGTCGCATATGCGAGAAGCAAACAGCAAATAAACATTTCAATTATGTCGCTGTGGAAAAACTTTTTGCGGCGGGAGTTTCAAAAACTTTGCTAATTAAGCCGCTCTCTTGCTCGCCTCCCAGCAGCAGAGAGATAGAAGGCAAAAGGGCGCTTTGCCAATTAGCTGGAAAAAGTCTAAACAACAACGCCGGCAAACTCCAAACAAATGAGCCAAAGCCAACATAACATCACCGCAGAGCGAGTGGGGGGTGGTACGTAATGGGCTTCACGTAAGTGCACAATGAAAGGGGAACAACAATGGCAGCAGGCCATTTCCGGTAGGCATGTGTGCGCGCGGCCATCTCCTGGGGTCGCCTGCTCGTGCTCGTCGTGTGTAATTGTGTGGGTGCAGCAACAGTTTGTTGCTTTGTTTGTATATTTGCCAGGACAACGGCAATGACAACGACAACAGCGACAACGACAAGCTCATAAATTTTTAATTAAATTGTTGTCTTTTTGTGTGTGCCAGCGACACTGTACAGGAAAACGCACTGATTGCCTGTCTATCTGGCAAAGTGTGCGTCTGTATCTGTGATAGCTTAGCTGTAGATAACACACACACACACACACACACACACACACACACACACACACACACACACACACACACACACACACGCACACACACACATCGAAAGCCTGCTGTGCACTTGCCTCGATTTGTTTGCCGTCTGCCTCGAGGGCAAATTAAGTTGTTTAGCCTGCAATCGAAAAGCCCTCGAGGTAGCAAGTAACTCGATCCAGAGAAACCATATTAAATATTTATTATTGACTACACATTGGCCGTAAATAAAGTATCGTCCATTCGAGTACTATGTGTACTGCAAGCCAAGTATCCCTTCTTTCGCTTACTTTACACGCAAGCCAATCGATAAATGAAAAGCAATATTCGTTGTTGGGGCTTACAGCGTGTGAACAAATATATAAACTACTTCTAACTGAATGAAATACATATGTTTCGTATCAATGTATTTTTCGTTTTTTTTTTTTTTTAAGATACACAAAACACCTTACTAACAGGCTTTAAGCCTCAGTTAGAATTGGCCCGAACAACGCCGGGTAATTTGTTATTGAGTATCAGACAGTCTACATCGGACAGCCTCACAGGCTAAATGATATTAATACATCTATAAAATAAAGCACAAAAATTGAGTACTTACCTTGTAAGCCTTATTGAGCTTTCAACAAATAATTTTCGTTTTTCTTTATGTGCTTCAAATACATTCTTTTTTATATTGCTGCTTCTTTTTGCAACATCTTGCCCATGATCTGCATTTCATATTTTTGTTCAAGCACAAAATGATCAAGCACAAAAAAAAAAAAAAAAAAATTGTGTCACCTTCTACACAAGGCTGCCTCGCAGCTTCAACTGAGGACCACCTTCAATAGGCAGCCTTATTTATACTGCTGGCTCTTCATCTTGCCAGTTTACACACATGATCAGCATTTTATATATTTTTTTATTCAAGCACAAGAAAAAAATCTAATATATTTCAATCAACTGCACTGGCCCGCTTCAACTAACACCCAGCTTCGATGCGCACCCTCTTTTATACTGCTGGCTCTTCTTCTTGCCAGTTTACACACACGATCTGCATTTTATATTTTTATCAAGCACAAAAAAAAAAAAAATAATTTGTCACCGTCTACACAAGGCCGCCTCACAGCTTCAACTGAGGCTCAACTTCAATGGGCAGCCTCTTTTATACTGCAGGCTCTTCTTCTTGCCAGTTTACACACACGATCTGCATTTTATATTTTTATCAAGCACAAAAAATAAAATTTATATATTTGAATCAACTGCACTCGGCCGCATCGCAACTTCAACTGACACCCAGCTTCAATAGACAGCCTCTTTTATACTGCTGGCTCTTCTTCTTGCAAGTTTACACACATGATCCACATTAAATATTTTTATCAAGCACAAAAAAAAAAAAAAAAAAATTTGTCACCGTCTACACAAGTCCGCCTCACAGCTTCAACTGAGGCTCAACTTCAATGGGCAGCCTCTTTTATACTGCTGGCTCTTCTTCTTGCCAGTTTACACACACGATCTGCATTTTATATTTTTATCAAGCACAAAAAAATATTTTATATATTTCAATCAATTACACTCGGCCGCATTGCAACTTCAACTGACACCCAGCTTCGATGCGCAGCCTCTTTTATACTGCTTGCTCTTCTTCTTGCAAGTTACACACATGATCCGCATTTTATATTTTTATCAAGCACAACAGAACATTTTTTGTCACCGTCTGCACAAGGGTGCCTCGCAGCTTTAACTGAGGCTCAACTTCAATGGGCAGCCTTACTTATATTGCTGGCTCTTCTTCTTGCCAGTTTACACACACGATCTGCATTTTATATTTTTATCAAGCACAAAAAATAAAATTTATATATTTAAATCAACTGCACTCGGCCGCATCGTAACCTCAACTGACACCCAGCTTCAATAGGCAGTCTCTTTTATACTGCTGGCTCTTCTTCTTGCCAGCTTACACACGCGATCTGTATTTTATATTTTTATCAAGCACAAAAAAATAAAATTTTGTCACCGTCTACACTAGGCTGCCTCGCAGATTCAACTGAGGCCTAGCTTCAATAGGCAGCCCTTTTTATACTGGTGGCTCTTCTTCTTGCAAGTTTACACACACGATCTGCACAAAAAAAATGTATATATTTGAATCAACTGCACTCCGCCACATCGCAACCTTAACTGACGCTCAGCTTCGAAGCGCAGCCCTTTTATACTGGCGGCTCTTCTTCTTGTTAGTTTACACACATGATCCGCCATTTATAGTTTTATCAAGCACAAACAAAAAAAATTTGGTCACCGTTAACACAAGGCTGGCTCACAGCTTCAAATGAGGCCCAGCTTCGATAGGCAGCCCTATTTATACAGTTGGCTCTTCCTCTTGCGAATTTACACACATGATCTGCACTTAACATTTTTAAACAAGCACCAAAAAAAAATGTTAACTTTCACACTCTGCACTGGACCGCCTCGCGACTTTAACTAAAACACAGCTGCAATAAACAGCCCTTATATACAGCTTGTTCTTCTTCTTGCTTTCATACATGCGCGATCTGTATTTTATGTTCTTATACAAACGTCAAACCACACCATCTGCACCGGACCGGCTCGCGACTTCAACTGAAAGTGAACCCCATTTTGCAGCCACTTATATACTGGTCGTTCTTCTTCTTGCTAGCATACTTGCATGATCCGCTTATCTCATTTTTATACATACACACATACAACGCACATGACCGGCTCGCCACACATATTCAACTGAAAGTCGGCTGCAATGCGCAGCCCTTTATATACTGCTTGTTCTTCTTCTTGCGAACATACATGCAATAGAAAAAGGACTGCCTATTGGCTATGGTTTTAGTTGCAGCTGCGAGTATAAAAGCCGATCATACATGTATGTTTGCAAGAAGAAGAGCAACCTGTATTTAAAGGGCTGCCGTAAATGTAAATGTGCGTAACAAAGCTATGAAAATCAGATCATTTACATATACTAGCAAGAAGAAGCACAAGCAATATATGTATAATGGACTGTTTTAGTTGATATCGCCAGGCGGCCCCGTGCATGTAATGTAGTTGTGTGAATGTATGTGCGTAGCATGATTATGCATGTATGCTTGCAAAAAGAAGAGCAAACAGTAGGGTAAATGAGTCTTCTATCAATTTCAATAATATTAAAAAATTAAATTATAAATATTGTTTCTTTGCCGGGTTTCAAAATAGTTTTTTTCTTTTGTTATAATCGATTGATTTAATCTATCCAAAATAGGAATCTATTATATAAGCCGATTGAAAGTCTATTTGCAATTGCTCGTGATTAATTTGTTTCGTTTGTTGGCCCACGAGCTCCAACGCAGCTGTCAAACTCCTGATATTTGTGTTGTCTGCAACAGGTTAGCATCTTAGTGTGTGCTTCATGTGCTGACTTGGGAAAGGGTAGCAAACATACATACACCGTATGTTTATGTTGGCATTTCGCTTACTTGAATTATATTGCTTTATTATATCCAGTTAGCTTTGTATACAACTATTCCGTGTACCATCGATCGGTTTTACACCCATTTTGACAAATTTATGTTTAAATACATTTTATAGGTGTTTCACACATTTCGTATAATTCATCTATTCGTGGTAGAAAGGGAGTCAAGACAAGATAGCTCCAGTTTCAGATCACAGAACCATGATACCAACTGTTAGTTCTTAATTTAATGGACTTCACATTTAGATGTAAAATATAGAGACATTCAGCCAGACGGATTCATACGTTACCGGTAGCTTTTGATGTTGAAAATTAAACGTTAAAAACTAAGACCGGGAAACACCAGCTAGCATTATATATATTTGTAAGCATATTAAATTTGTAATTCGTTCTGTATCTTTTTAGTTCTTTTACAAAATTGGTATTTCGCTTGTCGAATAATGCAACAATGAGCCGTAAATAATTATATTACAATAGTCTAACAACGTTTGCGTAAGAAACTCTATTTACTCCCTATATAATGGTTTCGCTCGACACGACATTAGTTAGTTCTTCAATAATGGTTAAGGTCTATCGTCAAGTTTTAGTGCAGTTAGCACTTATCGTGTTCTTTGTGGGGCAGACGTTCGGATTCATGAAAGAACTACAGAACGAATACCCCTCCGACAATTTTATCATATCGCCATTTCTGTTAGCCGAAGGATTATCACTTCTATATTTGGGAGCGCAAGGCGAGAGCGGCAACGAACTTAAAAGTGTCATACCCAATTTTCTAGCGAACAAGGACGCGGATATAGAAGCGTATTTGTCCGAGAATCGAGCCACATTAAAGTTATCTGAGCAGGAAACATTGAAATTCGGTAATCGGCTTTTTGTGACAAATGAAATGGACATTTTAACTAAATATGAGAAAAAGATAAAGAAAGTATTCAATTCTAATGTTAATCGAGTTGACTTTAGCAACCCCAAAAATGTTAACGTGATCAATCGCTGGGTATCCCAACAAACTAATAACAAAATCACCAAACTAATTGACAAATTTGCCGGAAATGAGAAAATTATAATTGCTAGCGCGATTTACTTTAATGGATTATGGCAATATCCATTCGAGGAGACTCTTACAGAGAAGGCTCCCTTCTATTTACCAAAGGAAGGAGAAACCACGAAAGTTGTTAAGGTTGACATGATGAACAGAGTTAGTTTCTTTTTGCGAAAATTCGTTAAGGAACTAGATGCGGATGCCATATCGTTGCCATATGCCAACTCAAATATTACGATGGTTCTTCTTCTGCCAAGAACTATGGATGGCATCGGCAAACTTCTCGATCACCTCTCGGAAGTGAATATCAACAATATATTACGGGAGAGCGAACTAAACCGATTACATCTGCATTTACCAAAATTCCAATTCGAATTTACGATCACTCTAAATGATATGCTTAAAAGCATCGGCTTGAACGAAATATTTACAGAAGCCAATTTAAAATTAATGACTGACTATGAAAGTCAATTAAAAGTTGCTGAAATAGTTCAAAAGAGTGTTATAACGGTTGATGAAAGGGGTACAAAAGCAGCAGCTGCTCAAGGTTTGAATTTTAGAACATTAAATTTTTAAATACTAAAAAAATTTAATTATTTCAGAAATAAATGCATCTTTAAGGGGATATCTGGACCACCTAGAGTTCAATCATCCGTTTGTATTTTATATTATTGACGAGGAAAGAATTTACTTTGTCGGACAAGTTCGGAATCCTCTACTTAAATAAAAAACATTGGCACTTCTAAATCATTGTACTCTTTAATTCAATTCAATCAACATTCAAATATATCAGACGAACGTTTTATATGAATTAAATTAAACGGCTGTTTTAAAAGCTTCTGCCATTGGCCGCATGGCAGCTTCAACTGCCAACCTGCCTCGATGGGCAGCCTTATTTATTCTGCTGGCTCTTCTTCTTGCTGGCCTACACACATGATCTGCAATTTAAATTTTTATTAAAGCACATGAAAAGAATTTCCATTTTAATACCATCTGCACTGGACCGCCTCGCGACTTTAGCTAAAACACAACTGCAATGAACTGCCCTTTATATATCGCTTTTTCTACTTCTTGCTAGCATACATGCATGATAAATACCATCTGCACCGGACCGGCTCGCGACTTCAATTGAAAGTGAACCCCATTTTGCAGCCACTTATATACGGTTCGTTCTTCTTCTTGCTAGCATACTTGCATGATCCGCTTATCATATTTTTATACATACACACATACAACGCACATGACCGACTCGCCACACAGCTTCAACTGAAAGTCAGCTGCAATGGGAAGCCCTTTATATACTGCTTGCTCTTCTTCTTGCGAACATACATGCAGTAGAAAGAGGACAGCCCTTATATACTGCTTGCTCTTCTTCTTGCGAACATACATGCAGTAGAAAAAGGACTGCCTATTGGCTGTGGTTTCTGTTGAGGCTGCGGGTATAAAAGTTGATCAAGCAGCAGATAAAGGGCTGCTGGGACGGTCCACTGCAGATTATGGTGTAAGCGATTAATTTTATCTATCCAAAATCGAAATCTATTAAATAAACCGATTGGAAGTCTTTTTGCAATTGCTCGTGATTAGGTTGTTTAGTTTGTTAGCCCACGAGCTGCAACGCAACTGTCAAAGGAACTTATTGATCACAACTCCAGATATATGTGTATGTTGTTGATGTATGGGCCAGAAGCGAACACACTCCACACTGTAACCGCTTTGTATCTAAGTGTGTAGGCGTGTGCTGACGCCCATGCTGTGCGCTTTGATTGCCACGTGCGTTCAGGTTTTGTGGCGGCAACGGCCAGGGGTAGCAAGTGCGTAACTGTGTCCAGTAATCGGGGTCGTATGATAAATGATACCGCCCGGCAATTGCGGTCAAATAGGGAGGCCGCTCTCAAAAAAAAACTAAAATTAACATAATTTACCTTTATAATTGTGTGAGCTAAGAACGCCTCGATGTTGGTTGTGTTTGTGCTGGGTGTTGCTAGTAGCTGGTTGCTGCTGGGTAATTTTGCATGCAAATAACTGGAAATTAGTGTAAGTGCTCACTGACATGCCACACCGTGGGCGATCAGACGGCCAACTGGCAAAGCGCAGCAGGCGACTGGCACCTCGTCTACTCCAGCTCCAGCTCCAAGGTGAGCAGCAGCGACAAAGATAAACAGACAGACTAAGGCAAAATAAAGTGGCAAGCGCCTGGGCTAACGTTCCCTGTGTGAGCGTGTGTGTGTGCGCGTATCCTGTATAAAATGTGTGCGCATTAGCTTAGAGAATATATATGTTAGCTGCATCTCTGGCTGCTGTTCAGCGCTTCATAAAACCCATTAAAATGCAATAAGCGCATAAAACGTTTTAGCCATGGCGTGAGCGACTGAGCTCACATTTAAAATGTTGTAGGGGTTTGTGGATAAAACATATTTTACTATGCACATACATATGCATCTCGCCCGCATTACTTTAACTTAACGTGTAGCCAATAAATACCTATCATGAATGTTTACCTATATCTTCAATATATTACTTTTCACAATGAAACGTTTGTGTAATCAATATACTAGCTAGTGCTTATTATATACAAAATTGATTGACTGAATTGAAAGTATTATCTAAAGTATTAAAGGTTGATGCCAAGACTGTTTTGAATGAAAGAAACTGTGAAAGAAACTTTTGTGTCGTATAGCTTCATATCACAGAAGAATGGTACCAACTTTTGTTTCTTAATTTAATGCAATTCAAAAATAGATTTAAATTACAGGCTTTGCGGCTAGTTTTTAATATATTATTATATGCATAGGCAATTTGTAATTCGTTCTGTAGCTTCTTTGTTGTTTTACACAATTAGTATTTTGGTTGTTGAATAATACAACAATGAGCCGTAAATAATTATATTACAACGATTGCATAACCAACTTTTTTCCTTCCCTATATAATGGTTTCGCTCGACACGACATTAGTTAGTTCTTCAATAATGGTTAAGGTCTATGGTCAAGTTTTAGTGCAGTTAGCACTTATCGTGTTCTTTGTGGGGCAGACGTTCGGATTCATGAAAGAACTGCAGAACGAATACCCCTCCGACAATTTTATCATATCGCCATTTCTGTTAGCCGAAGGATTATCACTTTTATATTTGGGAGCGCAAGGCGAGAGCGCCAACGAACTTAAAAGTGTCATACCCAATTTTCTAGCGAACAAGGACGCGGATATAGAAGCGTATTTGTCCGAGAATCGAGCCACATTAAAGGAATCTGAGGAGGAAACATTAAAATTCGGTAATCGGCTTTTTGTTACAAATGAAATGGACATTTTAGCTGACTATGAAAAAAAGATAAAGAAAACATTCAAAACTTGTATTAATCGAGTTGACTTTACCAACCCCAAAAATGTTAACGTCATCAATCGCTGGGTAGCCCAACAAACTGATAACAAAATAACTAAACTAATTGAGAAACTTAACGGAGATGAAAAACTGATACTTGCTAGCGCGATTCACTTTGATGGATTATGGCAATATCCATTCGATGAGACTCTTACGGAGAAAGTACCCTTCTATGTACCAAAGGATGGAAAAACTACAAAAACTGTTAAGGTTGACATGATGAACAGAGTTAGTTTCTTTTTGCGAAAATTCGTTAAGGAACTAGATGCGGATGCCATATCGTTGCCATATGCCAACTCAAATATTACGATGGTTCTTCTTCTGCCCAGAACTATGGATGGCATCGGCAAACTTCTCGATCACCTCTCGGAAGTGAATATCAACGATATATTACGGGAGAGCGAACTAAACCGATTACATCTGCATTTACCAAAATTCCAATTCGAATTTACGATCACTCTAAATGATATGCTAAAAAGCATCGGCTTGAACGAAATATTTACAGAGGCTAATTTAAAATTAATGACTGACTATCAAAGTCAATTAAAAGTTGCTGAAATAGTTCAAAAGAGTGTTATAACGGTCGATGAAAGGGGTACAACACCTGCAGCTGGCAAAGGTTTGCATTTTAAAAAACTAACTATTTCAATTATTTAAGAAATTTGAATCTTTCAGAAACGGATAAAAGGGTGCGACTGGAGCACCTGGAATTTAATCATCCATTTGTGTTTTATATAATCGACGAAGAGAGAATTTACTTTGTCGGACAAGTTCGCAATCCTCTACTTAAATGAAAGAAATGAAAATAACTTTTCTCATTTTTCTTCTTCATAAATTGCATATATCAATTAAAATGCAAATATATTGACGAAGCAATTTATATACAGCTAATTAAAATATATATGCTTTTTGGGTTATTGCAAGCTAGATAATGCTATCGCACCTTTTCACACTAGAGTTTGTTTTCCCGTTTTATTTTTTTCTAGATTTTGACTTTTGCAATGCACAAAACATGCAAATTGCAATTGCAAGCTAGAAATTAAACTTGCCAAATAATTATCGTGGCTAACCGCTGTTACCACAACAATTTTACCTGCACACGTGTGGCCTGAAACTGTTCTGCGAAAAGCTAATTAAATTAATTAAAAATTCACACGGAGCGATAGAAGACATGGCAACAGCAGGGCAAAGGGCGAAGTCATATGTGGCGTATGCGCAACGTCATGACTGTGACGAATGGCGACAACTAAAAGCCAAACGAGAGACAAGCAAAATTTGCTTATACTCGCGCCATTAGCAAAATGAATTGGGGCATGCGTAAGGGGCGTGGCCGGGGCTGAGCGCCACAAATTGGCCGATTCCCGAGCGGCATTGTTTACAGCGTTGCCACGCATATTAATTGCCTGTTTAAGCAAATTAAGGCCACAAAACAGCAACATTTTTTCCCTTTGAACTTATTTTTTTCCATTTATGCTCCTGCTGCCTTTCGCTCTTATACACAATTAATCTGCAGTGCAACGCTGACAACTGCAATTGCATAAATAATTAAGAGCCAAACGGATGAGTGTTGGCTTAAACCGCAAACAAATTGACAAAGCTGCACAGCAGCTGCCCAAGAGCCTGTCGTTGCTAATTGCCGTAGCAGAAAATATCAGCCGGACCATTTGCAAAAGGATTACGGAAAGCTTCAATTCCTGGAAAAAATTAAAAGCTCCAAATACTTTGTGGCAAACGTTGAATACCCTTTCACAGAAATGTTAGCCCTTGCTTTAAGCTGATATAGTTATTGTATTTATTCAATATATATATTTATCCAAATATTTAAATTCAATTTCAACAAATTAAAAGCTCTCTCAACGCCCCAGCCTGTACTGGCTTATTGCAAATAGCTCTTTATATGATGCTGCAGTTTTTATGGGTTAAGATATAAACGGAATGGCTTCAGTTTTATGCATGGAGCTGTCAGCCGTGTCCATGTCCCGCTCTGGAGTATGGGCTGGCTATGTCAGGACCATGTAACCGACATTGTAGTATACAGCAGACTGCCGGGCGTCTGTGGCATGCATGGGCATTCATGCTGATTCTGACACTCGCTTTCAAGTATGCGCAAATTAAATTTAACAAAAGTGGGCGGGGAAATTGAGTCGAAATTAAAATGTTGAACAGCGAGCGACCACAAAAAATGTTATTTTCAATTAACCTAAGGCGAGGAATGTTACACTTTAAGTGTTGGTTGCCACATGACTCAAATTGAAAAAAAAAACAGATGCTCAAGGACACAGACACACAATCTGAACACAAATACAAATGGAAAGTCAAACATCATCGAAGCGGCAACCTTGATGAGTCCAAATGAAAACAATTAAAAGTGGCAGATAGATTTTCGACGTGTTGGGGCGTGGCAAGCAGCAATCGAACTTTTTGCGCAAAAGTTTAACTCACGTAATTGAATTGAATGCCAAAGGATGTACGGGATGTTGGCAAAGCGCAGTCAAGTGCAAGACGCAGTTTATATTCTTGCTTTGCTCAACAATATGCCAAATTGATTGTGTGTCTGTTCGTGTTCCAATGTATGAGTGTGGGCGTGTGTGTGAGTGTGTGGGTGTGTAGTGTGGAAACAATGCTTAGATTATGACCTGGTTACCACGCCATATTAGCGTGTCAAAATGACATCTACTTAAATCAACTTTCGGTCATTGTTTGTGCCATTGTTCTATAGACATGGCATAAAACGATAACAACAACTAAAACGCCAAAAGCTAAAGTCAAATGTCTTTGGACAGTTGCACTGGGTAACTGGTGGAGCGGTATTTTCGGAATCTCCTTGGTTATAACAAAGACCCTCCGGGCAATAGCAAAAACAGGCAAGCGAGCTTTCTCCAAAAAAAAAGGTTGTGTAAGTTTTGTAACTTGACATTGAGTTTATTTCAACTTATTTGAGAATCGCGGAGAAGGGCGGCTTGGCATTTTTAAAAGTTATCTTATCTGACAAAAGGTGATGGGATCAGATTGGCAAATAATCTGATTATAATTCTACAAGTGTTTTGTTTTCGTTTCATTTAAAGTTGAAGAACAAACTATTCCAGTAAATTGTATTTCCCCATATGAGCAAAAAATGGAATTCATGTTAACCACATTACGTTTTTCGTTCAATCGACCTTAAGTTTGATTTTTAACATATAAAATATAATTTAAACTTATTTCACCGCCAGCGGAAATTTCTAGTCTTACAGTTACCTCTAAGGAAAAGGGAAGATTTCAATTGTTCCATGAATGAGAAATGAGTATAAATAAATGATTTTAATTTATTCGTTGTATTTATGTGGGCTTGTGTGCGTGTTAACGAAAAAATTACCTCTTCTACGATATAAATTAATAGGAAAAGTATTTCTGTGTGGGGTACTTCTATACGATTCTCATGAATTCAAGTAAGACATACAGGTTTCCATGTATGTGTGCATGCATTTATTTTATTTATTTATTTATTATATTTTATGAAAATACACTGTATGTATATACATATGTTATCTTATGTAAATATATATCTTCCGCTAACCTGTTCTCTACTTCTTTTATTATTTCAGTGATCCTAACATATTAAAGTATTTTACACCCCTCTTGCAAAATGGCGATGAAAATATCGTACGTGTGGATGTGAATTTCCGGGTAACTACATGTTTGACTATATATTCATATATAAACAAGAATATAAATTAAGGCAAGCTGGTCACCAACAATTTTCTATTTAGTAAATATGTTTTTAATATTCACATAAATTTCACATAACATTTAATATTATGTCTGAAGAAATGTAGTAAGGTATGTGCACAAGCCACCCTCGCTAACTGTTGACAGCCTGGCTAAAATTTGGCCTTTGTTTATATTAGTTCTTCGCACGAGACTGTGAACTGACGTCTGGCCCCAGTCCCCCCTTGATCCCACGTAGTCGTGGCGACTTTAACACATTCGCATTCGATAAGATAAGAGTACGAGGGGCTAGCGATACGATAGGGTTGACAACGACCAAAGCGAACTGCGATCCGCGACGCTAGTTTATATAATGGGCAGAGTAATAAATTTAATATGCTTGTTAAAAGCATTCAGCGACGACTATTGATAAACCGGAAGGCAATTCGTCGGGTAAAGGCAAACCTTTACCCTTTGCAGGGCATCTATCTTTTGTTCTGCATTATCAATTAAAAGCCAATTTATCGTATTTTGCATGCAAGTAGAACAAGTTGTAAGCCCTAAAGTCGACAACGACTAACTTGTCTGGCAACAGGCAGTACTCGTCATTGTTGTTGTTGCGGGCATAAGTTTTTGGCAGGGCACAAAAGTCGCCTCGTGCCACGCAAAGTAATTGAGTTGCCCCCAATTCAAAGCATTGCTGTTATTGTGTTGGCCACAAAATGGTTGGCACACAACAACACTTAAGTTTAAGTGACTACTCGAGACTTTTTGAGAGCGCACACAATGGTGGCAGCAGCAGCAACTGAACTGAGGCTGTGGCAGCGGGGCAAAGGCGGCGGCAGAGTCGCCAAACTGCGTGACCGGAAAGTGTTTGGCGTTTCCGGTTGACGCAGCCACCAACGAATGAGTTGCGGCGCTGCCAACAACAGCGGCCACACCGAACGGAAGCTAACCGCCTGGACAGCAGCAACAACAAAAACAACCCGCTGCCACAAATGCTGCACGTGTTTGTGCCACAGGAAATTCGCATAAAAAGAGCTGAATGCGACACAATAATACACTGACCCTGCGCAAAATCGTATTAAGCATAACCTTCTATTCTGCATTTTTTATACACACATTTTTCAAGTTCAAATTCGCTTGAAGCAATGGAGCATTACTAATTAAATTATATTGCCAAAAAAACAGAAAGAATTCCATATTGAATTTATCAAACTTTTACTTATAATAAAATCATAGCATACTTTTTGGGGTTGTGCATATGAAAAATTCGTCGCAACTTTCATTTTAGTACTCATTGATGGACTAAGTTCCTTAGAAGAAATGAAGTACTTATAAACGTAAATACAAATAATTCCATTACATTAGCTAAAAAGAGAATTCCATTGAGTTTATAAGACATTTAATAAAAATAAAATCGTGGCATATTTTTTAGAAGTTTCCAAATGTAAAATCGGATGGACTGGTGGAAAGGGGATGGATAACAAATGTCAACAAATCTTTAAAATATATATAAAAAAAAACTCTTTCGAGATGTAGTAAAAGCACGCTTGGCGTTCAAGGAAATTATAATATTTACTTTGCAAGCAAAATCCACAATTTTATCTCTTGCCCTTGTTAAAGTATTTAGTCAGCCCGCTTATGAGAATACAGAAAAACTAAACTTTATGACGCATGAGGCAGACGGCAGAAGTAGGGAACGAAATTTGGGACAAAGCAAAGAGTTATTCTGAGTGAAAACTTGACACGTTTTCGTGGGTTTTCCTTTAGAATCGCATTCCGACCAAGTGAAACTCAATGCCAACGAATGTCACGTTTTGGTTATAAAATGTGTTAAAATGTTAATACAGGACAACAAACAGTAACAACAATGGCTGCAGAAGCCCTAAAAACGAAAGAAACCCACAAAAACCCACAAACGGGTCAATTGGTCGCCTTTATTTTAAGCTAGTCCGTGACGACGACGCCATTTCCCGTTTGGCATGTAAATTTCAAGCCGGCAAAATGTGCCTTTATATTGAATTTATACTTACTTGTAAGCGAAAGCTCTTCCATAAGGTAAACGTGCAAAAAACAAAAAGGTAGCCAATGGCCAGGCGAAAAAAAAGAAAGCTAAGTTAATTGCTTTTGCATGAAGCGGCCCTCAGAAAACAGCTGCGCCATTTGGCCGTTGAGCGCGGGCCGAAGAAAGCAAGTGAAAGCAAAAAGGTGGGCGAAAAAAAATGAAAGAAATATGTGAAACGAAGAAAATGGAAACTGTGCTACTGAGGCTGCCAGCTGAATTGGTGCTCAATTGTGCGGAAAAAATATTTCCATTGGCGCGGCCCGCGTAAAAGATGAAATACACTAACTGGCTGGCAGGTGAAGTCCTTTCAAAGTGCCTTCTAATAAACGCATGCAGGTGAGATGCTTTGTGAGAGCTTTGCTCAAAGCGTGCCAGATTTAAGCAAACCAACCAGATTTAAGCTGACCTTTTTGTAATTTATGGAAAACTTCCAGCAGCATTTACTGATTTGTTCAAGTTTCGCACGCAGCACGAGTTACTGAAGACAAAAATTGTTTGATCGACAAACAGATTGAAAATGGTAATTATCAAAATTATCAGTGAAGTTGAATAAAACGATAAAGTAAGGATATCTTCGGCTCGCCGTAAATTTAATACCCTTGTAGACATATTCCTTTGCAAATTCTTATAAGTAAACGAGGTAAAAATGCCCAGAGATGAAAAGCAAAAAGCTTAAGCCCGATGATTGCACTTAATTAAGATTAGACAAGACTCTCGCAGCCATCGACAAACTGCTTTTTAACCGTACACGTTAATCACAGGCTAATCTTTAAGCTGTTGCTGACAGAATGAGAGAAGATGAAAGCGAACCAGGTAAACATACGTGCTTTTAAAATGCCTCAGCAAATGAGCGGTTTTGCAATGGACATTTTACAAATGTGTGAGTTTCTTAACGCTTGTTTTTGAAGGGATTAAAGAGCTTAAAGGGTGTTGTACTAATTTGTTGTTTGGGTCTTCAGTCAAGCCCCAGTTACAAATTAGGGTTTGGGTGGGCTTATGCTTACTGATAGATGTCAATTGGGAGCCCTTAGACTAGGCAAACTATACTCCTGGGTCAACGTCCGATTTGATTAGCTTAACCCAACTTAATTTGATAAATTAGGGTAGGAGCAGCACAGCCAACTGACTCCCAGAGGAGAAGTTAATAGCTGCCTTAAATTCTGTTGGTTCAGGGCACGCATTCACTGAACTTTGTAAAATAATATCATGCAAATATATATGTATGCCGTACAGTAAACACAGCGTCTTAACGAACAAAGACTTTTGCTGCCCGCAAAAGTATGCAACAACAAATTTATACACGAAAACGCAATGCGCCATTTAGTAGACAAATAAGCATAAAGTGCTGGAATAACAAATACCCTGTAGAACGTTTGAATCAATCAACTTTACAGCTACTGTCAATCTACTGATTTACTTAATTATTCATAGGAAGTTAAAAGGACATTAATTTTAAATAAATATAAATATAATAAATATGTAAATTCGACATTACAAATTTTTACTTAAACGGGCAGAATATACCCTAAGTGTCGCCAGCACAGAGGGTATATAAAGCACATTGTTCGCCACACGGGCTACATAAATAATTTACTTTAACACGTGTGTGCCTGCGGATCTGTGTGCGTGCGTGTGTGTGTGCGTGAGAGAGATATATATTTGTTGTGGGCACTTTGACTAAATGGCGTGTAATAAAATTTCAATTGCTTTGTCTGGTTGGCATTGTTTGAGTTTTTCATAGAGTAGTGCAATCGCCCAGAGCCTTATCACGTGTGGCCATTCAATTAGGAAAAGGCCAGCCAAGCGGTCAGAGGGAAATCGAGCGCCAAATGTCCTTGCCCGCATGCTAATTATGCATAATTGCTGCTTATTAAATATAATTTGGGGAATCCGACAGACAAGGACGACGCCCGGGTCGCTTAGCTGTCAATATCGTACAGAGGCGGGCAGGAGTAGTAGGATTCCATGCTAGTGGCAACGGCATTATTGCGATGTCCTTGCATTCACACAGACACACTCACACGTGCTTTCTATGGCCCTGACCTTTGACATTAGCAAACTGGGAGCTGAAACCAGAACTGAATCGGCCTCGGCCAGCAAATTTGCTTATAATTCAAAAACATGCCGAAAAAAAGAATACAAATACATAAAACAAAAACAAACACTAAAAAAGATGTATAACGAGCGGCAAGAAACACAAAAAAACACGTTAAGCAAACACGATAACGATACTATATGCATGTTCAGATAGATATATATATAAATATGTGTGTCTGTGTGTCTGTGCGCAACAAGGACAGCATGGACAACAAGGACAACAGGCGACAAGGCGTGCACACACAACAAGAAGCACAAGAAATTTATTTCAATTTAAAAATATTCGTCACGCGCAACACAAAAAGCGAGTTAACAGCTCGTCCAAGCACCTCTTCCCTACCCTGGCTGGGGGCGTGGCCATTTGTATAATTGCCAAGCTTAAGAGCAGGCGAGCCGAGAGAGACAACAACTGGCTGGATCAGACGTGCAAGGAGCCCAAGTTTGGCCCGTTCGGTTTAGTTTATGCCATGACACGCTCCAAGGACGCGCCGCTAAAGAAATGGACATTATCGTGACAGGCATTGGACTAAAAAGTTTAGGGCGCTAACTGCGAAGCTGCCGTAATTGAAAGAATACCCACGATTTATGACTGCATATCAATGATATGCCGGGCCGGGCCACTCACAGCAACTCCTGCAGCCGAATCCTTGACCATGGCACTGTGAGCGCTTGTTGACATCGATTGACATGGCACAGAACAATGGCCAACCGGACGGCACACAACTATGAAGAATCAAGTCCGACTTCGGAAAACTTTGAATAAAACGCACGCAAAAACGTGCAGGTTTTTATATATCCTGAGTTTGAGGTCGAG